GGGGGGGGGGGTCATTTACTTTGAATTTTAAAGTATTCATTGACTGGTTCATTATGTTGTAATTTTATTATGTTTAGTTAAGTTATGAATTGATTAAGTAATTGATTAACTAATTAATTTATAAATGATATATAGGTATGCTTGTATGCTTTCTTACTCTTTCCTGCTGACTAATTAGCAATATAGATCAGTTCTATAGCGTTCATTCAGTTGTTTCTTCTTTGTTTTTTCGATTTAAGGGATACATACATACCAGGTGGAAGAGCCCTCTGTAAATGGGACTCTCATTCTCCTCAGGGCGATCCTTGGGTAGACACGTGGCAGCTAAATGCCGTAAGTCATCCTTGAAGCAGAACCCCAATTTCAAACAATTAGGAGACCGTAAGATTTCATCCAGTACTTCATAAACCCTATTTTCTGATAGGGCTAGCATATCTAAAATAAACACCTCCTCCTCCCAGTTGCCACCTTCTTCTTCCTTCACCTCCTTATCCCCTCCCTTCTCCTTCTCCATCTCCTCCTCCTCCTCCTCCTCCTCCTCCTCCTCCTCTTCCTCCTCCTGCTCCTCCTCCTCCTTCCCCGCCTCTTCTTCTTTTCCCTGCCGCTGAGCCTGCTGCTCTTTTACAGTGGATGATACGACTGCTAGATTCCCTTTGCCACGTGTCAGATTCCCTTTGCCACGTGTCAGATTATAATTAGTTTGAATTGGTGATGTGTACCGACAGGCGATCTGGAGAACAGAGACGCGTGGCACAGGGCGGCTTCTGCTCGCGCTATTAGAGACCCAATCAGCTCCAGCGATGGAAGCATCAGGTCGCGATTTTGCATCAGATGCAGACAGCTGCGGACCAGAAGACGACAAAGAGGGTAAAGCTACACCAAGAGCAGGAAGAGCAATCCGGGTTAGCGACGGATTTTCGATCTCCAATCCAGCGGTCAAACTAAGAGACTTAGAAGCAGGGAAGAGAGGAGTAGGAGAGGGGGGAGAGGGAGGAAGAGTAGGTGATCCATGAAGAGGAAGAGTGGGGGGAGAGTGGGTGAGAGGAGGTGAAAGAGGAGGTGAAATTGGGGAACCTCCAGGAAGAGGAGCAGGAGAAGTAGGAGGTGGAGGTGGATGAGAAGATCCTGGAAGAGGAGGAGGAGTGGGAGAAGAGGGAGGGGGAAGATGAGGTCGAAGAAGAGATCCCGGAGGAGAAGAAGAAGGAGGAGGACATGGAGAAGGAGAAGAGGGAGGGGAAGTAGGGAGAGGAGAAGTAGGAGGAGGAGGTGGACGAGGAGGAGGAGGGGGACGTTGAACAGGAGAACCTGGAGGAGGAGGAGGACGAGGAGGAGGAGGGGGAGAAAGAGGAGGAGGAGGAGGGAAATTGGAATTTTGTGGCCGCCATTCTGAATCTAATCCAATCAGGAAAGCCTGTTGTGCCATGATGGCAAAGCACTCAAACTCTTCCAGCTTGTCAATGAAATGCACACGGTCTCTGGCTAATGGGAACTTCCAGTAGGAGATCAACTCCTCTTCTTCCTCCTCCTCCTTCTCCTCTTCCTCTCCATGGCTATCGCGAACACTACCCCAGCTCCGCAAATCGATTTTCTTCTTGTCGTAGAGACCGGCACCATCCTCTTGATTGCCATCTCTCTCCTTCGCTGTCTCCATAGCTGCTCATGCGTCTCAGACCGCCCTTTCGTCTTCCTCCTCGTTTTCAGTCTTCCTCCTCCTCGTTTTCACAATTCTCTTTCCTCCTCGTTTTCAGTCTTCCTCTTCGTTTTCACAATTCTCTTTCCTCCACGTTTTCAGTCTTCCTCCTCGTTTTTTTTTTCACAATTCTTTTTCGTTTCGGATATGGCGATCCCGAGTCGGGATCCCCGTCTCTGGATATGGCGATCGCAACACCGGACGTGGAAGACGTGGCCGGCGTTCCTTCCTCCTTACACTACTCCGACTCCTTTTTCATTTTTCCTCATTTTTTCTTTTCACTACTCCAAGGTAGGTTGTACTCACACAGGACTGCAATTGGAATGAATGAATCTCCCCGTATTTGCGATCTGATACATTCAAGGAACTTGCTATTGCTGCTGGGTAAGTGTGCCCTCAATTATTACCACGTAATCACCGAACATACTATTCGATGAATTTGTTGTTGTTTTTCACTTTGTTGTCCTGTCACCCACATTTGATTTATTCAGCCACGTACATGATTATATTCTATTTCCTACTATTTTAGTGGAAAATTTTGCGATATACCCCCCCAAAGATGATATATATGCCAAAATGCCCCTAAAAGATGTGGGTAGAGCGGAATGCCCTTTTGGCCCGCAATCTTTGGGATATGCCCCTGTCCGAGGGGTGCAAATTTTTGCGTTCTGGACCGTGCCCCATCTGGTCGGGCCTGTACTCGTTTCTACCCGGTTTGGCCCCTTACCGGGTGGGCAACTTTGCGAAACGCCCAGGATTATTGGAGACACCCGATTTCAAAAGAATGACGATGGAAATCACTTCGGGGAGCTCTCTCTCTCTCTCTCTCTCTCTCTCTCTCTCTCTCTCACACACATAGGAGGTAGTTTCTCTCTCTCTTACACGAGGTAGTGAAAAAGCTAGTCTCTCTCTCACACACATAAGGTACTGAAAAGAGAGGGAAACGGTGCTCTCTCTCTCTCTCTCTCTCTCTGGTCATTATGGTGCACGTGCGCCATAGTACACCTCTCACATACTACGGTGCGTGCACGCAGGCACACAAGCGAGTGAGCCGCAGAGAGAGAGAGAGAGAGAGAGAGAGAGAGAGAGAGACCTGGCTTTATTATTGGATAGTCATGTATGCGGACTGTGTGGAGATGACCGGTTTCGTTAGGGGTAAAATGAAAAGCAGTGGGTCTTGTATTTTGCAATGATGGACTGGTACCAGGTAGGGGTATATTGCAAATTTACCAGTCAGAAGTATTCTGCAAAGTTTTCTTGCGGTCAGGGCATACTCGCACACGCGTAGCAAAACAGCAAAATTTGCCGCGTTTGCCACTCCTGGCTTGCCCTTCTTTTTTTTCCTTTTTTTTTTTTTTTTGGTTGGTGGTGGCGGGGTGCGGAATGGCTTGCCATTTTGCTGTGTTGCGCAGTCTCACAGAGGTCGAAAGACAATGGGCCTCGTTCCACTACCCTCGACTTGAAAAAATCTCAAGGGCGGCGCCGTTCCACTAGGCCCTTGAGATGTGTTAATCACGATTGGAAAGCGATTAAGCTTCCCGCCTCAACAAAACCCCGCTCTGAAACTCGAGGGCGGCCGTAGGGTGCCGAGGCAACTTCGGCCAATTTTCAAGTCACCTCCCGGAGGTGACTTGGAATTTCTTGGAAACGGCGGCAATATGCATCGCCAGGCAGCAGTTCAGCCCTCCCGTCTGGTCCAGGGGTGCACATTTTCCCGCTCCTTTTGGGAGCGGGAACTGCAGGGTGTAGTGGAACGCCGACGACCTCTAGTACTTTTTAATTACGTTTTGACTCAAGGGCGCCCGTAGGGCTGCCCTTGAGATTTTTTTCAAGTCGAGGGTAGTGGAACGAGGCCCAATGCCCCCACGGCCTGCCATTTGCAAAATTGCCATCTTGTGCGATCGGGCTGCAAAAGTAGTCCACTTGTGCGGTCGGACTGCAAAAGTAGTCGACGGAGGCCTCAAATTCCCTTCTGTGAGCTCACCTATTCGGGTTCGGGAAAATAAACAAAAAACGATTTGGCGGTTGGTCGGGGTTGGGGGGTCAAATAGGCAGGTTGATAGGGGCTGGAAGTAAGAGGCGGATTGTGTGAGAGGGAGGGTAGGTATGCAGTCGGGTTGAGGGGTCACGGTATTATGAGGAAGAAGGGTTGGTCGCGCTATATGTGGGGGGGGGGACGGGAGGACGAGCGTAGGGAGGGGCGACTGAGTGACAGGAGAAGTTGGGGGGTTTAGCGGGACGCTGTCGAGCGCACCGGTCCGGCACCACTCAGTGGTAGCGCGGGACCCTCCTGGCCGCGTCACGCAGGAGTCAGAGTACACCTCCGGTTGTGGTTCACACACGGAGCTTCCACAAGCCGCTCCGGCCGGGTGCGCCAGCCATACCTCTCGCGAGCCCCTACGACAGGACAGGGCCTACGCGAGGCACGACTACCTCCACCTTACGGGAGTTGTCACCTCCCTTCGGAGGGCGTATCCCCGTCGAGCTACCCGTCCACAGTACGAAAGCTGATCAGCTGCAATCGCAGAGGTGGACCAGCCGAAGGCGTTTTTTGTTCGCTGTAGCATAAGGGGTACGCGCGGTACTACGCCTCTATCGGACCCGCACGCGAACCGACATCCTGGGGGGCTGAGGTCCCAAGCGCGGCTCGTCGCCGATCGACTAGGACGTATCCCACACACCACGCGCACACCACTATAACGTACATAAAGGTAGAGCACACGCACACACGCACACGAGCACTGAACGACGCAAAGGACGTACAACGCGACACCCTCCTAGTCCCTTAGTGTCCATCCCATAACTTCCTGGTGTGGGAACCGGCTGAGCGTCGTGCGCGAGACTTAATATAAAGCGGCGCGGGCGTAGGCCTTCTCATACCGGCTAGCAATGCCAACGCACACAAGCAATCGCGATGATGGCGCACTATGCAGTGCCCATAATCGAGCGGTCCCTCGTGGATCCGAGTACCGCTTATGACACTCACGTGTCAGACTCGAAGTATCGTGAAGGTTCCGCCCTTCACGACATTGCACGGCTGAAGGACTAGCCGTGCGGCCGCCACGGCACGTCCGGCTTTCGGCCCGAGTGCCCTGGCGGTCAAGGCAAATAGGCTCTGCCCGAGGGGGGTCCCCTTCAGTGCAGGGCCTAGGGCTTGGGATGTCCTGGACAAGGGCCTTGAATCCCGGCCCAGGACCAACGTCCGACTGGCAATCCCCAAGAAGCGCTTATATAAGTAACGGGGTCATCCTTTCTCTACTAGCCCAACCCCTGATTAACTCCTTAGCACGCGGCCCCTTTCAGGCCACACAAGTACCCTACATAGGTACGCATACATACACATGCACACACATATGCACACATATGGGAATGAACGTGTGACGATCACATCTCACAATCATAGTGGACCTCCCCATAGCCATACACATGTATAACATCGCAGGGCAGTCCAATCCAATAATCCAAGCCCTAGAACATACCTGCAATCACATCAAAGAGTCAAGCACAAGTTCATACGCTACACGGAGTCAACTCCAACCAATCTCTATGCTCATACTCTTTGCCTCAGCCATGCAAGCCCCAACCTCCAGCCAACCAACCTTAAGTAAATACTCAGTACCTTTGTTAAATGGCCATTCAATAAAAGTCCGGGTGAAACCTTAACAAAACAGAAAAAGATCACCAGGGTTGAAGCCTCTTTAGGTTGAGTAAGGAGAGTGGGTTGAGGTTGAGTCGTAACCGACAAGTCGGCAACCGACCTGTTATCTGTGATAACAGAAGGTGATCCTAATAGGATCAAGCTGAGTCCAGCCCACGTCCTGAAGCGACTTGATAAAAAAGACCTGTAACACAAGCCAGGCCAATCTCAAGCTAAGTCTACGCGCTCAGGGAGAGTAACCTTCACCTCCTGACCTTACTCGAGCCGTCATATCTAACCAAGTCTAGGTCCACCTCTAGATAGCACTCAGCGGAAGGTGGATCTCGCCATAGTCTCCCCTACATAGGTCGTCACTTGTCCAAATATAGGCTAACTCCTCTAACTTAGGAAAATTTCGGTAGCGCTTCCCGTAGGAAAAGTGACATCGCAGAAAATATACTAGTAAAAAAAGTCAAACTTTGGATCCCAAAAAGTCAAAATTTGTCTAACTCCCTGACCTAGCAAAAATTTGGGTAGCATTTCCTTCAGAGAGGAAAGCCCCTCAGATCTATACTAAGTCAGACTTTAACTTTTAGACATAACGTCTGGCCCTGCCACGACAAAACCTCAACCAACTTCTTAGCTTTGTAGAAATTCCGGCAGCGCTTCCCGTAGGGAAAGTGCTAGTCCAAGATTTATACAAGGCCAAGTTTTGGGACCTGACAATGACTTTGACCCTTCAGGGCCCAATTTTGGCTAACTCCCTGAATTAGTAAAAATTTGGGCAGCACCTCCTTTAGGAAAGGAGGCTCCCCAGATTCTTACTAGGTCAAAGAAGTCGTCAAGACCGGATCCTGAAAAAGTCAAAGTTTTAATTAACTTCTTGATTTTGTAGAAATTTCGGCAGCGCTTCCTGTAGAGAAAGTGGCTTACCAAGATTTATACAAGACCAAATATAAATAAAGGATCCGAGAACTGCAGAAATGGGTCTAAGTAAAAAAAAAAACGAGCCCAGAAAATGCAGGAAATGACTCTAACTCCTATGGCTCTAGCACGTGGCGAGCAACTACAGCAACTACCTATCAAAATTCAAACTCATACTAAAAAGTGGCATCACTCAGTCACATGCAGGTCAAACCACAGACATGCACTCTCTCACCATCCCCAAGTTACTTTAGCAAACAATAGTTCGTAGCCTTTCAATGATTTGTCCCTTATACCCAACTTACCTAGGGCATAAGGCTAGACCACCCAAACTTATGGAACATGTCTAGCCAGCCAAGAAGTATACACAAACACAGAGCACAATAACTTTTCTCTTCTTTGGGCATATGACTAGGCCATCCTAGTCACCCAGAAAAGTTTACGTATCCAAAATTTATATAATTCGTCTACCCTTAGTCTTTTAAGGTAGCATATAGCTGAGCCGATCATCTTCAGCTCAAGACTCAGCCTGCCCCTTTGTACCACAAGTTTATTCTTAATTAAGTACTCTCTTCAGTTAGTGATAAGCTATAGTCAG